ATCCATCCATCCATCCATCCACCCATCCATCCACCCATCCATCCATCCATCCATCCATCCTCCCACTGATTGTTAACAAGCTATTTTTCTTATTCTAGGTATCACTCCAAGCATTTACTTTTCCTGAATGTCATCATATCGAACGACATTCATGCAATTAGTGTCATGTTGCTGTTGCAAACACCAGCGCGCATCAGCTGCTTTGGTGTGCATAGGGATTGTAACTGTTTATTATTTACTCCATCAATACTTTGATAATGAAATCCCCACATACGTCGTTAGTAAAGGTATGTACCAGACAGATTTCACACATTTACGGGTTAAGCAAATATGTGCCTTCGCACAGGTAATAAATTTTTAGAATTAGAATTAGACTAAATAGAATTGATTTATGGGTTAAGGCTACTTTCATAATGTATGGCAGAGGGAGGGGCGGGGGGGAGCAGGTGAAATCTTTGAGACAAAAAGATTCTTAAGACCCCCCCTTGAAGTCCCCCAAAAAATAACTATGTATGGCAGAGGGGGGGGGGGGCAGGTGAAATCTCTTGTAGCTTCTTCTAAAAATTTTGCATCCCCCCAATTCTCTGGGAAAAAAAATTCAAAGCTTCCCATTTTACTGGTAAAAATTTTTCTGATCCCTAATAAAATTTCACCTGCCCCCCCCTGCCATACATTATGAACCCAGCCTAAGCATGGGTAATATTTTTTTTGAAGCAAATAGAGTAATATGGGTAAACTCTTTTTTTAAAGTTACTAGAAAGCAAGTGTGTTTGAGTATTTGTTTTGTATCAATTGTTTGCCTTCTCCGAAATGTGTTTGTGAGACTTCGAATGAAACAGTAATGCACTTTTTCTTTGTATGTCCTTGATTTGCTGCTCAACGTTCTTCTTTTCTTACCTCAACTGCACAGATTTGTGGATCATTGTGGACAAATTTGTTCTCAAAAAAGCAAAAATTAAATTCTTTACTTTATGACTATTTTCTGAAGTTCAAAAATATATTTTAGCCACTAATCGTTTCCAATCCGACTTTGATGTTGTTTTTTTTTCCTATTGTTATCTCATTATGAGACTGTTGTACTATTTTAGTCTGTATTTATTGTGTATTTATTGTACTTATTTACCTACTGTCCACTGTTGTTATTTATTATTTATATTGTAAAATAGACTTAAGCCCCCTTGTTAAGTTTCGTTGCTTTTGGGGTAAATGTTACAATAAATATGTTTAAATGAAAGAAAAAAGAAAAAAGAAAAGAAAAGAAATCAAGTACTGTATGAAAAAGCTGAAACAATATAAAGTGATAAGCTCTCTTTTGTACTATTTTGTACAAAATATATTTAGTACTGTTTCAAGGAACTGAATGTGTTGCATTTCGGGTGGGTGGGGAGCGATGAGAGGGCTCAAAAACATTAGGTTTGTAAAAGTGACCAAAAGTTGTAAGAAACCTCGGGGGGGGAGGTACTCAGCTAGAATTTGGGTAGGGGTGTTCCGCTGGGATTCTGAAAGAGGCACCCTGTTTATGATAAAAAAACTCAAAGTTGTAGACCCTGTTTATGACAAAAGATATCATTTATTGCACTGAGTTCCTGTTTCAATTATCATGTCATCTCATGTATTGTCTTTTTTACGACCATAATAACCAGTTGTGGTCAATACGAAAGTAGAAACCCTGAATATGACAGGAAACTCAGGAAGAACTTGGAACTTGAGTGAAATTGCATACCCTGTTTATGACAAGAAGCTCGAGAAACCATACCTTGTTCAGCGGATCATCCCCGTATAGTCCATATGTGGGAGTACCCCCCTCGGGTAAGAACCCACATACCATAAAAATCACCAAACTGTGGAATAGGGCCAAACTTATGACAGCCAAGCCCACTTTTGTATGATTTTCATTGATAAATTAAATTCCAAATATTCCACTTGTACATTATGGGATCAAAATGGAGCCAACATGTTGGCATGCTAAAGAACACACGTAGGAGGTTTGGAATTGTCAATGAAAATGGGAGGGGCAATCACACAAAAGTGGGTGTGGCTGTCATAAAAAATCATTAAAAAAATTCTGGCCTATACACCCTTCTCATAATGGCTGACAAGTGCACGAAAACGAGATCACCCAGTCATTATTTCACGATAAAAGATATAAAATTACATGAAATGACTTTAAAGAAGAAAAGTATTTTGAAAATGACCTTTGTTTTGGTCTGAATTAGCGCTAACAGCCTTTATTTTGAATGAGCAGCTTGGCTCAATCTTGCAAGATGAGTTCATCAGCCATTATGAGAAGGGTGTATTCCACAGTTCAATGATTGTCGCTATATTTCCTCCCACCTCCCTCTTCCCTCGCCTTCCCCCTCTTCCCCCTCTTCCTCCCTCTTCCCCCTCTTCCTCCCTCTTGCCCCTCTTTCCCCTCTTGCCCCCTCTTCCTCCCTCTTCCCCCGTCTTCCCCCATGTTCCCCCTCTTTCCCCCTTTTCCCCCTTTTCCCCCCTCTTCCCCCCTCTCATTCATTCATTCATTTATTTATTTATTTGGGTTTGTTTGTTTTAGAGGTTGCTGCGGAGCCGACAGCAAGAAGTCGACAACAACAAGAAATCACCAACCCCTTTAAAATCCGGTACAAACTGGTATACAACAGCGAAGACGAACACCATGCTATAATATCTATTACCAACACCGGGAGCGCGCCGATCAAGGGACAGACATGGACGCTTTATTTCTGCAGCATTAGACTATTACACGGTCACGACGCGAAGGTCACTTTACACCACATCAACGGCTGTTTACACAAGATCGAACCTGCTTCTGAATCGACAATAATCAGAGCTGGTGAAACATTTCATCTTTATCACAAAGGAAACTATTTTATTGGTGGAAGAACTCACGTGATGCCGAACTGGTACCTGGTTGGTCCAAATAATGAGGTCAGGCTCGTGCGCAGTACTGTTGGAGAAGATCTAAGTTTTGTAGAAGATTTCAAGACTAAAGAAACGTGGAAGCGCTACCGCTCCGATGAGTACGACCCTTACTCTCCAGAGAAGCGCTATGACGTCATTGGGTTCGATGCTCCTGAGGGGGTGGGGGACAGTCCTTTGTTGGTCATACCACAGCCTCTGTATGTTGATAAGTTTGACAGGGCGAAGAGGTTGAATCTTGGTATGGGGTGGAGAATTCATGCTGAGAATGAGCTGAAAAACGAAGCAAAGTTATTGCAAGGTAAGAGATAATATTGCAAGCATTTTCTTGCCATAACGGCTTTGCACCACCACGTGACGATGGCCATGTTAAGCCCCGTTTACACTAGCGATTTTTGYTGCGATTTTTGCTGCGATTTTTTTGCTATTTTGTCCATAATAAATAATGATAAAGAATTTAATTGTAAAGTTTTTTTCAGGATACCAAGATTTTCCTAGACGAATGTCTCTTTTGAAGGATGAGACAAAAGAATTCATATTTCCGAAAATTGCCACAAAAATTGCAGCAAAAATCGCCGCAAAAATCGCCAGTATAAACGGAGCTTTAGATAGCGGGAACAATACAATCGTTTTACATGAGAAAGAATTCACTTCCTAAGAGCAAAGGGATTTTATTGTTCTGCCATCTAACCACAGGCAGTCCAAGCTGTATTAATGGCGTGTGCACGTGATGGTGCAAAGCCTCTTAAGTGTCGTCAAATGTCAAATGTCAATGACATGACCGCCATGTTGGTTGGTGTTATTAACAAAGTAACTTAAAAAGGCCTGAGTTTCTAGGTTCGTCTTTCGTGACTTTGAACTTACTTACTTTGACTTCTATTTGACTATACTTTTAAAATGCTTCTCAATAGAACGTTCATAGTCGTACATTTGCCGTCGTGCCGAGATAGGGTTTTGATGGACGTCAAAAAGTGTGTCCATGACACTGTTGTAGGTTACCACAAAGTCTTCACGTGCCTACGAAATGCCATGAAAACCCTTTGCTTAGGGACGGACAATTAGATAATTGAGGGGGGAGGTTGCATAATCCCCCCCCAAATCAAGAAAGCACTTAAGCTACGAAAAAATATCGCGCAATCTCTCCTTTCAGTAAAGTAATATCGAGGAAACACACACAAAAGAATGCGTGCAGCGGTTGTTACTAATAAATAATAAATATCGTGCAACATAAATTCCTGCAAATGACGTCCTTATGACGACTATCCTGAAGACGACGCCTTGTCATCCAACATGACGTCCACTTCTTATAAATTCTCTTGGGAATAATATTCTTGGTATTTTTGCTATTCCTAGCCAGGTTCAAGATTCCAGTTGAATTTTCCACATCTCCGATGCAGCATAAAGTGATAAGTCTAAAGATTGACAACCCGGGCATTAAAATGAAAGGCATTGATTCGAGCAATCACGAGGCGTATCTGTTAAATGTGAACACCGCTGACCAAACAGTTCGAGTCGTTGGGAACTCCCCCAGGAGTGTGTTTTATGGGATACAGACTTTACTGTCACTCGTTGATAAAGATGGTGAGTAGGTATGAATACAGCAGGGGTGGGGTAGGRAGATTTGTACTTGACGTTCAACCAATGAAAAGCGAGGACGTGTAAAGACAGGTCTGCGCACTAGAGACAAGCATACCACATGCAATATACACAGACTCAGAACAGCATTGATGTGTTAGGAGTGAGAAAAGACAAACACTGTTAATAAGAAGTGTAAAGACAGGTCTGCGCACTAGAGACAGACATGACCACATACAATATACACAGACTCAGTACAGTATTGATGTGATAGGAGTGAGAAAAGACAAACACTGTTAATAAGAAGTGTAAAGACAGGTCTGCGCACTAGAGACAGACATGACCACATGCAATATACACAGACTCAGAGCATCATTGATGTATTAGGAGTGAGAAAAGACAAACATTGTTAATAAGAAGTGTAAAGACAGGTCTGCGCACTGGAGACAGACATGACCACAAGCATTTGTGCACATTTTTCTTAGACGCTGTTTCCTTCTTTGTCGTTTGTCCTCGGTGCATCTAGACTCTGTTCCTGAAGTGTTCATCCAAGATTCTCCAAGATACAGCTACCGTGGAATGCACTTAGATGTTGGACGCAACTTCATGCCTAAGTCAGCGGTCTTGCGTCTCCTCGACGCCATGGCAACGTATAAAATGAACAAGTTTCATTTCCACTTGACGGATGACGAGGGATGGAGACTCGAGATTCCTGGGCTGCCTGAACTTACTCAGGTGATTTTATAAGATGTATTAGAGTGAAGCCTTTTACAAGGAAAAGCTTATGCTCACAAAAAAATAGATTTTAAAGTGTATAACAAGGAAAAATTTTTATTTTCAAAAATACTCATATGTGAACAGTGTAGTAGTATGGTTGCAGTATTTTTGTATGTGGCCTCCTTTGTTCAGAGATATAAATATTTGAAATATCAATATGCAAATGAGATCCAGGAATGTGTTACATTTTGCAGTGTGATTTACGACAAGTGTTCTGAAGTGAAATCACCTAAAAGTGTACAACGCCATATATTTCAGTTATAAGGATGATTTGCAAATGAAAAAACAGCAGTACTTTCCACAACAGCATTTTTGTATAATAAATTAGTCTTGAATTTACGTCATCTCATTTGCATATTGATCTTTCAAATGCTTATTTCTCTGATAAGAGAAGTCCACATACAAAAATACTGCAACCATGCTACTACACTGGTCACATACAAGTGATTTTGAAAATGATTTTTTTCCTTGATATACACTTTAAGGAAAAACAAAGATTTTTCTCTAAAATGCGGTAAGATAGGCAATCATAACATGAACAATGTTGTCCAAGGTTTTTATTTTCCAAGTTGCAGACCGAATGTTGCTCGTATTATGACACCGCGCAAAAAGCATTGGTATGAGTATAGAGTGCCTTTAGACTTTGCAACATAGAAAAAGTAGACGCATATTAGTCTCTTAGGCTCTTTTCTCGTTCGATAAATACCACTGTGATTTATGACTGAAGACTCATCTGCACAGGCTTAACCTCGCTTAATGAGAGCAAATCATTTGCAAAAGTGAACTGCAATGTAAAGACGTCCGGACCTTTAGTGTCGTCTGTGTATAACTGACTTATAAACGAGGCTTATTTCTGTATAAATGAGTCTGTGGTCTTCAAAAACAGCAGTTTCAAATGCGAAACTAGTTTATAAAATAACTGTTATAAGTCTCACGTTCTGATTGGTTGGGATCGCATGCTTTATGAGAGCACACAGCACGCGCGCGCACTTTCAGTTGTGCATGTCCTATCCATAATAACTGTTATTGTAATTTGTATTTTATAAAAGAAATAAAAGACTTGCTTGCTGTGCTGTGTGCAGTCATAAAGCACTTGGGGGTTGGCTGAACACTCGACAAGTGTCGAGAAGCACTCCGCTACGCGTTGTGCTTCTCCCAACACTTCTCTCGTGTTCTGCCCACCCCCGCGTACTTTAAAACTCCACACGGCACGCGCGCGCATTTTTTATTACTTCAGTATTTGACGCGCGGCAATGGTGCACTGCAGAGTGCAAAACGAATGCTGCTTTTATATTACCACCAAACGCCCGGCAAAATTTCTTCGTTGCACGAGGTAGAAGCTCTCTAAACACGTTGCCACAAAGAGAATGTCTTGCGGATCAAATATCACGGCTCTTTAACATGAACCAATTTTGCGCAACAAGTTTCACGACGTTTTGCTTGTCATAACCTTAATTGTCGGATGTCGGAGTCAGGATGGTGTCGCCCCATATGAGCTGAGTGGTTGGTTCGCTTTCTGACTCCGAGGGTTTTTATTTCCTTCTCTCAAATCAACCCTAAATAACTCAAACTGGTTAGAGCTGTACTGCGGGGTCATACATGGGCTGTAATGCGGCTGCCATAGGCGCCTTCACATGCTTTCAGTTCGACCCCGTTGAGCTGCGCCACTGCTGTACTTTGCGGTGATGATTAGCGATAACAAGTTTTTTATTTTTTATTTTTTAGGTGGGTGCGCGAAGATGCCATGATCTTACCGAAACAATATGCATTCAACCTGAACTAGGTGCTCTGCCCAACGGATCTCCTAATTACTACTCAGTCGATGAATACAAAGAAATCTTACAATACGCGAGTGACCGCCATATTCAAGTGATTCCTGAGTTCGACATGCCGGGCCATGGACATGCCGCCATTAAGTCAATGGAAGTAAGATATAAAAACCTCAAAAAAGCTGGTGACCCGAGTGCGGAAAAATTTCTCTTGGTAGATTTAAAAGACTCCTCGAAATACCAATCTGTGCAGCTGTTTAATGACAACACTATCAACCCTTGTCTTGAATCAACTTACAATTTCATTTCACATGTCATTGAGAGTGTAATGCGCATGCACAGCGAAATACAGCCGCTGACTGTGTATCATTTCGGTGGGGACGAGGTTCCCAGAGGCGTATGGGAAGGCTCCGAGGCATGTGATAAATTTATGTCGAAGAATCAAAGCGAAGATCGCAAGGCAGTTATAAAGGAATATTTCATCGGACGCCTAGCAAATCTCACAGCACAATATGGACTTAAACTTGGTGGATGGGCAGACGCGTTTTTCAAGTCTCCTCAACAAGAGATAGCATTTCAAAGAGATTCGTTTGGAAACAAGGACGTCATTGCTAATGTTTGGAATAACGCTCGTACAGCGACAGGCGGCAATGGAACTTATGTGCTAGCTAATGCTGGCTATAAGGTAGGTAGGTAAGGCATTGGCTTCGCAACATTCTTAGAATCTTTTTAGGATATTTTGTGTTAAGATTCAAACATTTAAATCGTATGAGTGATCGTAACCATCTCGACAAGGGCCATGGAGTTATCAATGTTTTTACTTCTGTAAAGTGTTTCAGTGATTTTATTTAACGTATTTGTAAAAATTATCTCCACTTGAAAAAATATCAGTTTTCGACTATTTTGAGATGTTTTTTCAAGATAAATCAAAAACGAGAATGGTGACCCCATTTTTTATTTCAGATTTTTGATAAATACAATGCTCGTCATTATATATCAAAATATGAAGGAAAGTTTATTGGATAGATTTTGAAATATTTTGATGGGAATAGTTGACATGTGTAATTTTTGGACGTTTGTAGAGGCCCACATACTTGCATTTTTCACTAATAGTTCAAGAATCATAGTCACCCAATGACTTTGATAGATTTAATAGTATAGATTATCTAGTAAACTTCGAGTTATAAGTACGTTTTGTTATATAAAAGTACTTTTAACTGTGAATAAAGGTTCTTGATTACAGCTTCCGGTTGCTACCGCATTTCACTATAAAACCCATGAATTTACATATTTGGAGAGTCGGCATCTAGCGAAACAACGAGAATGGTGACACATCTTTTTATTGCAGTTTTTAAATGTCCATAACATAGTTAATGTCCATGCAAAGTTTCAGGACAAAGTTATTGGCAAAATTTCTTTCAAGGGAATTACCTTTATTACCAATTATTGCATTCCAGGTTATAATGACCCAGGCCACCCATCTTTACTTCGATCATCCGTACGAACCTGACCCAGAGGAGCGTGGGAACCACTGGGCGACACGATTCATAGACACCCAAAAAGTGTTTGGGTTTATGCCTGACGATGTGTACGCTAATACTGGGAAAGACGAATGCAAGAAACTGAAAGATGGATGTCTTAGGCTGAAGAAGAAAGATAATATCATTGGTGAGTCTATTTGATACTAATTCACAATACTCCTCCCTCATAATCGTTTTTAATTATGGGAAGCCATTTCAATGTTACGGCATGTCGTACCGTGTACGTGCTGTAAGTCAGTACCGTATGTTTCCCACTCATAGGATAACCATTCTTA